AGCTGCATCATGGATTAAATAACTGCTGACCACTGCGTTTATTGTCTGTAACTCTGTTTATAACTCTTTATTTTATTGTAACAAATCATCAACAAGTAAGTTGAACTTTAATGTCCTGATGAGCAAAGAACTATAAAACTGTCAGTTTTTTGAATGGAGTTTGGTGCGACTGTATCAACATTAAACCAACAGTCTGTCTTTGTCTCTCAGACTGCTTCGGTCACGGCTTCAGTACCCGTACCGGCGGCGTGTCCTACATCCCGACCCTGTCCTCCCTGAACCTGTTCAGCAGCAGGAGGAGGAGGGACCCCGGGGCCGTGGTGCAGGAGAACAGACGGCGACTGGCCCTGCACGCCGGTTTCCACCCTCAGCCGCTCTGTATGGTCAAGGTACTGAACTGACTGTACATTTCTTTGTGTATACCGCCTCCTAGTGGCTCCTGCAACCTTCTAAAGAAAGGGACGAACGAACTCTAGGACCTTCTCACAGACCAGTGGAACCTCCTTACTGTCCAACAGAACCTCCTAAATGCACTAGACCTACTAAAGGAGCTCTAGAACCTTCTCTGGGACCACAACAAGTCTTAAATTACTCCTAGAACCTCCCCAATGACGACTTGAACCTCCTCAGTATCTCAGAAACCTCAATAAACCTCCTAAACCTCTTAAAGCCCGACTCGAACCTCCTTAATGGCAACTGAACAATGGTTCTTTCCCGCAGGTGAATCACGCCAGCGATGTTTGGGTTCTGGGGAAAGTGGAGCCGGAGAGCTATGATGGGATAGTAACCAATCGGACCGGGGTGGTTCTAGCTGCTCCGGGAGCCGACTGCATGCCGATCCTGTTCGCCGACCCGGTGTCAAAGGTCATCGGAGCCGCTCATTCAGGTAGATGTTCCTTTTGGTCTCTTCCAGAAAGTGTAACACGTCCTCAGGTGTTCTGAAATCATATACCGGATTGTGATTGGACCTCAGGTTGGAAAGGGACCCTGATGGGAGTCGCTATGACGACCGTGGAGGCCATGGTGACGGAGTTCGGTTGCCGCGTGAGCGACATCGTGGTGGCCGTGGGGCCGTCGGTGGGGGCGTGCTGTTTCACCCTGGAGCGAGATCAGGCGCTGGACTTCCACCGCATCCATCCGGACTGCGTCCCGGATCCAGAGTCCGCCAAACCGCACGTCAACATCCGCCTCGCCAACAGGTAGCGCCCAACACGGCAGAACACAGAACATCAGAACAGAGTTTACTTAATGTTAGCGCACGTTAATTCTCAGGGACAAAAACTACCCAGAACCTTCTAAAGAACCCTATAGAACATTACCAGAGGCCACTAGAACCTCCTGAAGGAACTCCAGGACGAGTGTCTATCTATGATTTTAATTTATGTTTATTAGTGACGTACATCGCTAACCTAACGTCCAACTTCCCGCCCCAGAGTTCTCCTTCAGAACGGCGGCATCCTGCCTGAACACATCCACGACGACACGGTGACGGCGAGGCCCGGCGTGACGCCCTGCACCTCCTGCCACCCCGAGGCCTTCTTCTCCCACCGCAGAGACGGACTCAACTTCGGCACCCAGGTGGGCTTCCTGTGGATAAAGGGGGCGGAGGAACCGACCCGACCCCCGTCAGACGGGACGGAGGAACCGGGCCGCCCCCCGTCAGACGGTGGCAGACATCAACCAAAGACAGTTTAAAGAAACACCTGGAGGAACCACTTTGTTCTGATTGTTCCTGACACAGTGAAATATTTAACACGAGCTCTCAGGATGAATAATTTCTGCCTCGTTGCACAATTAGTATTTTCTGTTCCGATGTTAAAAAGCTTATTAATTTTAATGTCAAATAAATGTGAGTGGATTTTATTGAACAGGACCAAATTAAAAGCAGCAGCTGTTGTTAATGTGCTGTAATGAGACGTTCAGGTGCAGGCAGGAGAGCTGGGAAATATGGATACTGTGGGTTTATTAAGGTATATTTCTTACTGAAACTTAATAAATATCTTGAATACGTAATAATACTGCACTACATTCATTTCTTTATATCAGAACCTGATAAATAAATAACAGCATGTTTTTATAGAAAATGTCCAATAATGACAGAAGACAGATGTCTCTGGGATACAGACAGCATTTATTTTGACAAATATCTCAGAGTTGATTTGTCTTTAAAAAGCAGCCCTTTTTCTAAAAATAAATAATAAAATAAAAACAACAAAGATCAATCGATTTAATGTTTCTGAGCGGGGAAACCCTCCGAAGCTCGACTCAGTGCAACGTCAGCCGTCTTCACAGTAAACAATCACAGAATAAAAACCTCCTGCAGACGAACAGGTTCAGTCCGTTTAAGGTGAAATGCCCCTTTTAAAATAATACAGCAGGAACAGAGAGGACATAAAGCTCTGCAGTGCATCAGTCAATCAATCAATCAATCAACAGTTATTAATGATAAACAAGATTTAACACGTTGGTTCAAACATAAAAACACAACGACTGATCGAAAATATGTTTGTTTGTTTCAATAAATAAAAACAGATTTTGTCATTTTAAATGGAGTGAAACAACAACTTCCTGTCGTCACTCTGCAGCTTCATTCTAACACACACACACACACACACACAGTATGTCAACAGGAAGTTATCACAACAGGAAGTCCTCCTGCGTCTGTAGAAACCGCGATGAACCTCTGAGAGCACGTCGAGTGTGAACGCAACCTTCCTCATAACTAACCCACAATGCATCAGGTTTTAACCAGCAGCCCAACGGTCGAAGTCAACGCTGTACGAATGTTTTATACCTAAAGAAAGAAATAAACGAATGTGGAACGTTTACAGAATTCACACGAAGGTCCAAATAATAAAGAACGATAATAAAGTTTATAAAGTTTCACTCGATAACTCATAATTGTGCGTTTTTTAAGGGAGTCTGGCGATATTGTTGTTTTGAGTTCATCAGCTGGAAGGATGTCAAATCTTACGTTAGCTAAAGTTAGAACTAGTTAATCTACATTAACTGTTTGGGGATTTAATTTAGAAATAAAGTTTAGTTACTGACGCTGATTAGTTCAACAACTGTTGAACAATATGGCTTGTTGAGGGTTTCATTGTCTGAGTGTTGATGGCTTATTGATCCTCTGACGGTCAGTCTGTCCTTCGCTCTGTTCACATTATTCAATAATAACAGGCTCATGGTAACAGCGACACACCGAATATTAATGATCAATAATGTT